AAGGAGCCCAGTGAGGGCTTCTGCAAGGAGCCCAGTGAGGGCTTCTGCAAAGAGCCCAGTGAGGGCTTCTGCAAGGAGCCCAGTGAGGGCTTCTGCAAGGAGCCCAGTGAGGGCTTCTGCAAGGAGCCCAGTGAGGGCTTCTGTAAGGAGGCCACTAAGAGGGCTTCTGTAAGGAGCCCAGTGAGGGCTTCTGAAAGGAGGCCACTAAGAGGGCTTCTGAAAGTAGGCCAGTGAGGGCTTCTGAAAGGAGGCCAGTGAGGGCTTCTGAAAGGAGGCCACTAAGAGGGCTTCTGTAAGGAGGCCACTAAGGGCTTCTGTAAGGAGCTCAAAATGTGTCCAGATGGGTTTTCACCCCGGAACGGTTCCAGGGTGATTCCGGAACCTGAAACGGTCAGTGTCAAGTTTCCAGAATCACCCCGGAACGGTTCCAGGTGATTCCGGAACCTGAAACAGAGGATTTTCCAGGTGGGGGGGGCCAATCCGGGCCCCTTGCCTCTCTTTCGGAGGAGCAGGAGGAAGAGGAACGCTTTGGAACGCTTTGGGCAGCCACAGTCGCAGTGGCTGAACAGGAGGAAGAGGAGGCGGAGGAGGAGGAGAAGGAGGAGGAGGAGGAGGAGGAGAAGGAGGAGGACGAGGAGGAGGAGGAGAAGTAGGAGGAAGAGGAGGAAGACAAGGTATAAAATGGATGGCGAGGGACAGCGGGACGATGAGGAGCAGAAGGGGCGGGCGGGCGGGTGAGGGGACGGAAGGGGCGAAAGAGGCGGAAGAGGTAGAGGTGCTCCCACACCGCTACTCCGCGGACCTGTCCGGGGTTACGTCCTGACCAGAAAAAATCGAAGAGACTTCGGCCGTGGCAGCGGGGGCTGTGCGGTTTCAGCATCTTATTTTTCTCTGAACCTCTATATATTTCGGCGGCCCCTGTGGCGGCGGTAGCGACGGCGGCGTCGCGCCGTGGTGGCGACGTCGGCTGGCCGCCGCGCGCGCGGTCGGCCCGCGGTTGTCGCGACACGCGAGAGGTCCCCCATCGCCCACGGCAGAGATAAGACGAAAGCGGGACGAGGACAAACTCGGACGAGGATACACCGGAAATGACGGGCAACGTTCGGGGGGGATGCGTCGAACCCCGAGTCGCCCATTCATCGCTGATGGGGGCCCCGCCCAGGAACGTGCGGATTCCGCATCGGGGGCCTATCGCCGATGTATCGGCGATGTCTCGCCGATTCCCGATCGACTATGCCCCCTTGAGCCTATCCACCCCTAACGTTACCCCTTGAGGGTCTCTGAGAGCTGGCGGGTCTAGAAAATGTATTGGGCGCCAGGACCATTCCAGAACGTTCCAGAACGCGTTGGGGCGATGCGTTCTCCTTCTAGGATTGCCTGAGGGGGCCGTGGTCGAGGAACATATCATCGCGGGCTCCGGGCCCACGGCTCCCCCCCCCAGATCGGATGGGTCCCAGGGTCCTCGGGCCCGCCCCCCCGGATGGGACGGGGGGGAGGAGGAGGAGGACGAGGAGGAGGAGGAGGAGGAGGAGGAGGAGGACGACGACGACGGCGACGACGACGACGAAGACACCGTCCGCTCCAGCTCCCTGAAGCACCAGAACACAACGCCACACCCAGAAGGAGGCGACGACGGTGAAGACACCGTCGACGACGATGTTCCTTTTCCTCCTTCCCCCATCCGCTTCTCCCTCCCTCCCTCCTCGTTTTTGGCCCTCTCTTCCCTAGCTTGCTCCCCCCTCCCGCTTCCTCTCCCCATGTAGCCGCCACTCTCCGGAGGCAAAGGCTGAGGACGACGACGATGACGAAGACGCCGATCCCACACCACTCCCACAGGGTGTGGGGGCCACCACGCCACGCTCACGCCCACAGGGGGGGGGACCATCGCGCGGGGGGGGGGGCCCGATGGCATTAGCATTGGGGGGGGGCCCAAACCCTCGACCATATCCATATCCAGGGCCTCGCAGGCTAGGCCCCTGGTCCGCGCCCCCATGTGTACAGGGTGCTTTTTCGCGGATGCTCTGCGCGGAACGTATCCATGCCGCCGCGTACTCCGAATTTCATTATCAAGGGTTGGGAGTCACAAGCTCCCCGCGCGATCCATGTCAGATCCCCTCCCAGGCCAGCCACGAAAGAGAAGCCTTGAGCCCGTACCCCCAGGAGCCCTCAAGGGCGGTTCAAATCAGATGCCCCCCTCCGCATCAGACCACCTCCCTTGCGTACCCCAGATTTCGTAATAAAAGGGAGGGGGTCTGGACCCTCCAAGACAAGCCATTTCAGACCGTCCCCCGTGGGAGAACCCTCCAAAACATCGTCCCCAGACCCCCCAGGCCCTCCAAGATAGCCTGGAAGAGACCCCCCCCGAAATGAGACCCCCCTCCCTTTATTACGAAATCTGGAGTAGAGAAACCCCGACCACTGTGGGGCCTCGCCCGCGACTCCGGACCGCGAGGTGTGGACATGGCCGTGGCAGCCGCTCGCGAGAAAGCCTCGCCAAAGCTGCCAGAGGTGCTCCTGGCGCGAGGGCCCCCCCCCTCCAACTTGGAGGCGGCTAGGGAGTCTGAGCCGCATGGATCTCGAGAAAATCTCTCCAAAAGGGGGTCATTGAGGGCAAATCCGCTCAAAATCTCTCCCCCAAGCCCCTCCCGGGCCCCGTCTGGTGGAGTCTTTCACTCCGGATCGGTTCTGACGGCCCCAGGGGCTCGACGACAGCTCCCGGAGGCCGAAACAAAAGCAAGAAACCTTCTCGAACCCAGGATCTCGAACCCCTTTCCCCCCCCCTCCTGCTGGCCAGAACCGGTGCCGGGGGCTCCAGCCCACCACTGCTCGCGCCGCTTCCTCGGGACCCAAGGGGGGCCCTCTGTGCCTCGGCGAGGGGGGCTCGCCTCGGCCTCCCGGGAGCCCGAGCAGGAGATCGACTGCACAATGGATGGCACCCCAAATATGGCTTAGGCCGAATCTGAAGACACCTCGAGCAGTTCTATGTATCTGCTTCGTAGAGTCGACGAGAAGGTGTAAATTTTGGGGGTGGATGAATTACGTAGCCGATCTGCTACTCGAATTTTCGGGGGTGGACGTACCCCCCCCCCTCTGGCAGAACGCTCTCTGGTGAGAGCTGCCAGGGGCGCTCCACATGCGCACGGCACTGCATTCCGAGGGCGCTCGATCCTCGGCGCCCGCAGACAAGCGAAGGCATCCGACAACGCGAGCGTCGAGCAGCGAAGCCGACTGCAGACGGCGCCGGTGGACTTGAATGCCGATCTCGAATGAACCCGTGCAGATTTCATCAGTCGACGACAGTCGGGCCGCTGAAAGAAGGAGCGGTAACGAAGGAACGAAGCCCCTTCTTGGCCCTGTAGGCGCCTCCCCAGGAGGGCAAGAGGAACGGCACTGGAGGAGCCGAAGGAACATCGAGCCCCTTCCGAACCCAAGCTGTTCCTTAAGTCTTAAGTCGGGCCTGTCCTTCTACAGGGGGAATATTCAAATATTCAAAAATTGTCAAAAATTGTCAGGGGACTATCTTTTTGATGTGTTGTGACAATTTTGGAATATCTTGAGTATTCTTTATTTTCCGTCCAAAATCCCCCCGTAGGGGGACACGCCCGACCTAACTGAAGTCTGGGGGGGGGCGTTCTGTCAGTGCTCGACGTGAGGACATGAAGCGAGCGGGTCCTGCGGGTCCTGGACCCCAAGGGCCCCTTCCCCAGGACCCGCCTTTCATCTTACAGTCTGGGCGTTGACCCCAGGAACCCCAAATAAGGAACCAGGCCCCTTTCTTCCATGACTAAGTGAAACTTCGACTTCGCATCGAACACCTACGCAAACCATAAGACAAACGGTACACCAATGCGGGAACGCCGAGCCCCTCCCCAACGAAAAGAGTTCCTTCTTCAGCGGCCCGACCGTACATCCTCTCGCTGGGACGGCCCCGAGGCCCACCGGAGCCCGAAGGCGGCAGGCATCCACAGGAGCGGCTTCCCTCGGGACTCCTTTTGCTTCAGGGCGAGCCTCGGGGCAGGGACGCCTTTGGCAGCACCGCCAGAGCATGACCAAGACCAAGACCAAGAACGCAGGGGACTCGTCCAAGAAGTCAGACCAGAGCAAAACTGGGGCGCCTCGAAAACGGCAATATAGAAGTCCCTACGAGTGGCGAGCCTCGAGAATCCAAACTATGAGCAAGGAGGGCCCCCGCTGGGGGGAGTCACCCCCTGCCAGAGCATGAGGAGGAGGAGGAGGAGGAGGAGGAAATTCGGTGCCTGTCGTCCTGCACACATCCAGAGGAGCACGCGCACGTCGCCGGCCTCTACAACGGCAACACGCGCAAAGTCGACGATGGCAAAAATGCGAGCTGCTCACAGGCTCACACCGTCGCGGCAGGAACAGCTTCGCTGGCGGAGATGGCAAAGGGCGAGCTGCCCTTATCGACTCGCACCTTCGCAACAAAAAAACAACTTCGCTGGTGACTGACGCGTTGACCGCAGCCAGCTGCACCCCTCGGACCGCTCACCGCGGCGCTTTGAATGCCGCACGGCCTTTGCAAAACTATGGCGTACTGTGTGCTCGCGATAACTATTCTGCATGTTCGACCTGCCTGCCGGCCGAGATTCAACCTCGTAGGACGGGCTGGCATTGCGGCCAGCCGCGAAAGTGCGGAGCCAGCCCATGGCGGACACAGGCAAGACTCCGCGACACCCCTCGTCCACCTCGTAGGACGGGCCGACGTTGCCGCCAACCTCGAAAGGGCGGAGCCGGCCCATGGCGGACACAGGCAAGACTCCGCAACACCCCTCGCCAACACTGCGCACTCGAAGCCGGTCTCGCGGTAATCCTGCCTGCCAGAACTACCCAGCAGGCGCAACCACGAGAGCGGCGCCGTGCCTGCCAGAACTATCTTGCAGGCGCGGCCCTGAGAGCACACAGGTCCAGGCCCGCCCGCCCGCCCTCGGGCCCTGCTCCTCTATTGCTTTCACCCTCTTCCCCCCCTTTCGCTTGCATCCCCCCAGCAAGAATCACCCCTCACGCGCCTGCGCTCAGGAGATGCGCGCTACGACGGGCCGTGCGCCGCACGACGCAAGAAAAATGCACCCCTCGGTAAATATTCACTGATCCCTCCATTCCACGGCCTTCCTCCTCCTTCCTTTCGTTCTCCTCTAGAGGAACAGTAACCGGCATAAACAAAAAAGTTCGAAGTTCGGAGGTCCATGTGGATTTTTGGATCAGCGCAGGACCCCTCTCTCTGCCCTGGTGCGCAGAGCGCGCCAAGGGCGGCGCTGGAGGCGCCGCCAGGGAGGCCAGCGCCGATCCACGACATCTGCGTGGAGCTCCGAAAATTGATGTTTACGCAATTGTTCTTCTTCTGTCCTCCTCGTCCCCCTCATGGCCGAGGAGGAAATATGCCAAGACAGCGTGGCATTCCGCAGAAGGCTCTGCGCCCATGCGGCGATAACATCCCGCCGAATCGTGCCCCAGACGGCCTCGGAGCTAATCAGGCAATTCGGCTGCCCGACTCGTGGTCGGTTGGCCTCCCAAAGCAAGGGCGGTCGGTACCGAAGGCGAACGGCTGGGGCATCCCGCAATAGGCTGCGCTGGTGCGGCGCAGGCACGTCGGAGGAGGGCCAGTCGAGAAAGTGGCTGCGTTTTCCATCCTCTTCGGGCCTCCTGGAGGCTTCTCTTGGGAGCGGCCAAGAGGGGGGTGTCAAGAGGGGGGGTGCAAATCATGACCGGCGGCATGTGCGCGGCCCAGCGGGGGGGCCAGGGACGTGATGGAATCAGAAGAGGCGCCAAGAAATCTGAGGAAATACCATGGCCCCCGCCATGATACACCCTCGGCGGTGGACAAACCTCCTTTTAATAGACCTCCCCTTAGTGAAAACGGCCTGGGACCGAAACCGACGGACCTGGACCCGCAAAAATGACGGCCGCCACGCCCTCTCGCGAACCGAAAACGGCCAATTCCTGAATCGACGTGTCAGGGTAGGAGGTCTATCCACCTCCGATACCCCCCCCCCCTAGTCATCACCCCCCTCTCTGCCGCCCCCGAGCGTCGGCGGCAAGGGTCGGCGGCGCGAAGACCGGGGAGACGTGAGACTCGGGTTCGGGGGACTCGGGTTGGCCTGACGGGGCCGTCAAGGCCAGGACGAGGCCGTGAGAAATTTGGCGCGGGCTCCCGCTGCAGACACCCCACGCAACAAAAAGAGCCAGAGTTCAGGACGGGGGGCCCGAGTTCTGGGAGTTCGTTCTTTCTGTCTTGATCCAAGTACGGATGCGAGTAATGCATGTACGTTCGAATTCCCTAAGCAGTGCTTGCATTCAGGGGTTCTTACTTGTTTGTCTAAGGGGCTGTCGGTCTGGCGGCTATGTTATCGCCGTCGCCGCCCAGTCGCCGCTGCTTGTTCTTGCCGTCGCGCTTGTTCTTGCCGTCGCGCTTGTTCTTGCCGTCGCCGCCCGTCGCCGCCGTCCGTCGCCGCTGCTTCTGGGCCTGGCTGTCGGTCGCCGCGCTTGTTGTCGCCGTCGCTGCCCCGCGGCCGCCCGCTTGCATTGCATTGTGCTGCCTTCGTTGCTTTTCATTGTCGTTGCTTTTCAGTGCTTCGCATTGCTTCGCGTTGCTTTGGTTTACAACATACATTGCAAATATAAGTTACACCGCATATATTATATGTTGCACCGCGTAGTTTGGACACCATACACACATATATGCATAAAGATATTGTACACCATGCATATGGAACAACACATTTTGCACAACATCGATTGCACCACTTCACATAAATTGCAACACTGAGACCGCACCACATAGACTGCACAACACGTATCGAACAACATAGATTGCACCACATGGATTGCACCACAAATATTGCTCCAGATATATTGCACTTACCCAAGTTGGGGGAAGGTTGGAGTGGGGTCCAGGGTAACGGTATCGCTTGGGCCGGGTGGGGCACATCGGGGCAGGGGTGCGCTGCGACCGCGCGATCGTATGCGCGCGAGCACCAACCTGCGGGCGGGGGGACCCCCCCCCCCCCCCCCTCGCATGATCGCTCCCCTTTACCCAGGGGGCAAGGGGGAGTGGCGGGGGGGGGGTGGCCCTTGTAGTGGCCGCTGCGCGCCCGACGTTAGAACAGCCCTCTCCAGCGGACCCGAGCCTCACGCTCCCCATGCGGCGCAGGGGGGCGCCCGACGCGAGAGGGCCAACCTGCCCCTCTCCCGCCCGCCGCCCCCCCCTGCGCGCTCCCGCCAAGGCATGCGCCAGGGCGCCCCGCGAGCACGCCACCTCCGCGCCGCTCCCTCGCACGCTCGAGGGGGGGCGGGGACCGGCTCCGGCGGGGAGGCGTGGAGCTGGAACCGGCGAGGCGTCGCCGAGAGATCGGCGACCAGCTCCCGACGGCCGCCAGCGAAGCCGCACGTTCCTGGGCGGGGCTGGCTATCGGGCGATGCAGCCAGACTGCCCCCATCTTCGCGCTGCGCCCCTGCAGTGGTTGGACATCTGTCCCTGGGGCTCTCCCTGGGGTGGGCTCTGACCTGGACTTCGAGGCGGACCCAACCGTGGCCACGGTGGCACCCCAGGACGATCAAAACCTGCAGAAAAGCAGACCTCGACCCTGGAGCCTCAAACCTCTGAGCCGGTCTCCAAACGCCGCCTAACTGGGGTCCGAGTAGGTGGGTTTGGAGGATCGCGCCGCATCGCCAATGCATCGCCGATGCATCGGCGACGTCTGAGTGGAGAAAATTGGGCTCCACATCGAGCCACAACGCCGACGTATCGGCGATATCCGATACGGCGCGATCCTCTGACCCTGTCTACGCTGACCCCATCTGGGAGGCCTTTTCATTCAGAATCATTTTGTGATTGTCCCGAGGCTCGGTGAGGGCCCCCACAGGCTGGAAATCGTTAAACTTGGAAAACCCAAGGTTCGCTAAGGACTCGCTTCCCCCAAAACAACCGAAACCCTTCCGCCGAACCCTTCCCGAAACCTACCGAAAACCACGTCGGAACCCGTCCGAGAGGATTTTCTGAAGGGTTTCGGCCGTTGTGAAAAATCACCAGCCCCTGGCGAAACCTGAACTTTCTGAGGAGAAACCCTCCGCCGTAATGACGCGAGGGGGTCTGGGAACCTTTAAGAGCCTGTCCCCCCCCCTCTGTACCGCCGCTGCGGGGCAGCGCTTCACTGCCACGCCAGCGGGCCGCTGCCGCGGGAGCTGCCTCGCGGACGCAACACGTGTCCGCATCCGCGGCCTCGCGGGCTTGGCCCCTGGGCCGCGACCCCGCGGATGCGTGGCGCTTCTTCGCGGGTGCCCCGCGCGGAACGCACCCGTGCGGCCGCGTCTCCGCGGGATCGCGCCCCGGAATCCGGACCGCGAGGGCGCGGATATGGATACGCTCGCTGCTCCCGAGACATTCGGCGCTCCGACTCTCTCGATGCGTGACCCCCCGGGAGGTCCCAGGGCCAATGCGTTCCGTTCCGTCCTGAATGAAATCCCACCAGCCCTATGGGCGTAGGTGGTTTAGGGAGTTTCCTCTTCCACCCCCCATTCACCCTTCCTCCCTGCCCTTAAGTCGGGCGTGTCCCCCCCAACAGGGGGATTTTCGAAGAAAAATAAAATACCCCAAAAATGCTCCGAAATGGTTAGAAAATACTAGAAAATAACTCCCAGACTATTTTTTGCTCATGTTTGAAGATTCCTCCTGTAGAGGGACAGGCCCGACTTAACCCTACCCCCTCCCCTGGACCTGGACGGGGGGTGTCCGCGAAGTGTCAGCGCGTCCAAAGCGGCCTCGACGAGGAAGCCCAACTCACTGGTTTGACTGAAAGGTTTTGGCCTCTTGGGGGGGGGAACGCGAATTGCGACCATCCCCTTCTTTGATCGATGTCCTCCAGGAGGGCCCCAAGAAGCGCCCAGGAGGCCTCAAGAGGCCCCAAGATGGCCCCAAGGAGGCCCCCTAGAGGACCCCAAGCGGCCCCCCCCCAAGGCACCCAGGATGCCCAAGAGCCCCCCAGGGCCGCCAAGAGACCCCCAAGACGTCCCAAGAGGCCACCAAGAAGCGCCCAAGAGATATCCCAAGAGGCTCCGAGAGGTATCCAAGAGACCTCTGGCCCTTTTGATTGCCCTCCTCCTCCTGCTCCTCCTTCCTCCTCACTTCTCCTCTTCCTCCTCCTCCTGCTCATCATCCACCTCCTCCTAGTCATCTTCCTTCTCCCCACTCCCTCATCCATCCATCCAGTCTGCTCCTTCTCCTCCTCCTCCCTCCTTCGCACGGTTTGGCCGTCCCCCACTTTGCTCCCGCACTTCCCTGATCACCTCAACTCGCCTGGATATCGTTTCTGCATGGGCTGGTGGGGATACTTTTCCTAATCGCGAGAGCGCAAGGATGCCAGGCGCCGTCAAGAAACGCGGCTAACGAGCAACGGCCTAAATTCTGCACAAGAGCGCACAGGAGCGAATTACGCTGCGGCAAAAGGCTGCTGGGTATACGCGAAGCGTCTAGAATTTTGATGGTCCCGCCCGTTTAAGCGCCCAGGAGGCCGAAAGTATGTCAAAACCGACTACTCCAATTTGATGAAGGGGCTCAGGGACACACAAATACATAGACACGAATGCCAAGATTCCAAATCTTTCTCAATTGTATCCAGATATTCGTTTCCCCTCCACTTCGCATATTGTACCATCTGCCCCCGGAATGGATGTTTATTTGTGCCTGTCTTTTCTTGCCTCCTGATCCTTCGAGTAGGAGATCGACTGCATGATTGATTTGCCCCAGACTTTAAATTCTCGCCGAATCTACGAACACGTGCATCTATTTCAAGTTGATGTAATTACGAACAGTGGTATTACTTTCCAGCGAAAGCAACCATCCCTGCCTCACGTCAATCAGCTCGGTAGTCGACCTCTCACTCGAACTCCGTCGGAACCCCGGATCTCTGGGGGCGTGACGGCCCTCGCTGCCGCTGCCCTCGCTGCCACCGCTCGCGGCGCTCGCGCTCGAGCGGCTGCCGGCGCTCGTGCGGCTCCCGGACCTCTTGGTGGCCGTCGGAGGGCTCGGCGCCGGCGGCGGGGTCTCCGCGGCGGCGCCGGCGCCATCGGCAGGCGCGCCGTCGGGGTCGGGCCGCGGCCTGTTGGACGGCGAGCCTCCCAGAGGTCCGAGGCCCCGACGGCCGTGGAGCGTCGGAGCTCCCGGCGCCGCGGCCTCTTCGCGGCGCACGCTGCCGCCCGGACTCTCGGGCCCCATGGGCCCTGGCAGAGCGATATCGCGCTGGAGGAGAACGACGGCGTGATGTCGTGATGGGATGGTGGGCTCCGGTCGTGCCGTGCCGTGGCGTTTTTTTTTGCCCTGGGGCTGCGGTGCAGACCTCTCGGGTCGGGCGAAGGGGGGGATAGCAAAGGGGGGGGTTGAGAATCAGCTCGCGTCGCTGATTTCCCGGCGCCTCCCGGCGCCGGAGGCGGCTATGTATCGAGGAGTGGGCCCCTCGGTGAGGCCGAAACCAGCTGCATGCAGCAAGTTTCGTAACCCCCCCCTTTCCCAATCCCCCCCTTTCGCCCGGCCCGAACCTCCTGGGGTCCACGCGCCCAAAGAATTGGGGCGCCGGGTGTCTGGGTTGAGAGCGACACTGGGCCGTCGGAGGGCTCCGTCGTCGCCACGGCTGGGGGCAGCTCGGAACTCTTGTGCGTCTGTACCTCCTTGGCCTTCGGAGGGCCCCCTCGTCGCCACGGCTGGGGGCAACTTGGAACTCTGGGGCGTTTGGACCACGGAAGGGATCCGATCCGGGGACCGATTGCACCCACGGTCAATAATGAGAGCATCACGAGTCAGAACTTTTACGGCTGATCGGGGCTCAGAAAAGTAAGAAAAAAGCCGCTGAATTCTTCGGCCGATTCTTACAATGGCCCAGCCTCCCCATGGCCCAGCTGAAGACCAGGTGCGACAAGAACAGCCCACGGACTCTCGAGGCATGGGAAAATAAACGTGGGGCACAAGAAACTGCCAACTCCTGACATGCCAGACCAGTTCGCACCAGCAGAAAACGGCAGGGGCTAGAACGAAACAAGCAACTCTCTTGTTGACCGCCGTGGGTGTACGAACTGGCATTGTTTCAGCTCGCGCTGCCCTACGCCTGTGCGCTGGCGACTCGCCCTGCGCGGTGGCGGCCAGGAGGGTGTCGGCGGAGCGGGCCCGCTGGCGGCCACGCATGCCACAGATGACGCAGTCCTCGTCCGCGGCGGTGCACTCGACGTGGATGACCGGGGAACAGCAAGATTGCATAAACAGAAAGCTTTGGAGGTCTGCACGGATTTCTCGGATCGGCGCTGGAGCCCCCTGGTGGCGCCTCCGGCGCCGCCCTGGCGCGCTCTGCGCGCCAGGGAGGGGGGTCCAGCGCCGATCCAAGAAATCCGCGAGGACCTCCGAAAGTTGATGCTGATGCCGTTCTTTGCTCCTCGAGATGAACGTGTTTCGCAGCTGCACGCAGTGCCCGGGGAAGTCACAGTGGCTGTTGACCTGCATCGCGCTGTCGCCCACGACAAGGTCGCTGCCGTCCACGCTCGGGCAGCAAGTGACGTTGCGGCACGTCATCCTGGCGCTGTCGGCCTCGTGGTAGTGGCGCCTCGGGGTCAGGTCGGGCGACCTGAGGTCCTCCATGCCCTCGTCGTCGAGCCACGGGCATCCCTCGGGACACTCCCGCGGGGGGTGCTCATACGGGCACCCCTCGGGGGGCACCCTCCACACCGGCGACTTCGCCCGCACCCGCTGCGGGTTCGCCGCGGCAGGCCTGCTGGCGGGGCCGTGGCCCTCCACGGCTTTGCGGTGGTCCTGCTGCTGGCCCTCGCCGCCGCCGGTGCTCTGCGCGCCGTGGGCCGCGCCGGCGCCCGCGCTCGCAGGCTGCTGCGGCCGCGGCGTGCACCCGGCCGCCTGGTCGGCCTCCTGCTGGGGCGCGGGCGCGACGCTGACGAGCACGGGCACCGCCACCCACGCGGAGGCCTCAGGCGGCGCGGCGCCCGCGGGGGCGCCGCTGGGCTGGCCGTTGACGAGCACGTCCAGCTCCTCGAGCCCGGGCAGCGTGGGCCAGTCCCCCTTGCTGCGGACGGACAGCATGCCCCTCAGGGAGCGCTTGTCGTGCATCGAGACGCGCGCGCCGTTCCGGACGCGTGCTACCACCTCGCCCAGCACCTGCTCCGACAGCTGCGGGGAGCTGCGAACCCCGGCGGGGCACAGGGGCAGGCCGCTCAGGAGGTTACAGAGCTCGTGCAACGCGAGGTCGCCTGGCTTGAGCTTCTCCGCCGAGGCCACCAACGCTGGCCAGAATCTGCTCACCCACTCCAGCGGCACCTGCCCGAAGGCCCAGCAAGCGTTGGCCACCTCGAACGGCGAGGCGCCCACCCAGGGCTGTGCTTCGCAGACGTCCTGCACCAACTTCCTCGCCCACTCGTCGCCCGCAGGGAGCGAGGGGCAGATCACGGCCGTGGTCCACAGCGTGGTGCTGACGATGTCCCGAGGCAGCTTCCCACAA